GTACCGTAAGGAAGAGAGTTGCGGCGGAGAAAGGCGGGAGAGTTGGGAAAGAGTGTTGAGGTTGAGGAAAGGGGAGAAGGGGTGGTACCTTTATCAGGATTTAACGGCGATAAACGGCAACGTTGTTAGGTTATGGGATGATTCGTGTAGAAGAGGAAGGTACAGCTCAAGCTGTTCTGTATGGTAGGTGGTGTTTTTCTTAAGAACTAAATTTGCAGTCCGATAATAATGTTGTCTTAATGATTTTTGATTTGGTTTTGGGAAACATGTGAATGTAAATACAGTTACGAGTTGATTTTGGTCTGATAATAATATTTTGACCGAAAATAAATCATTTTAGGTCAATCACATAATAAACATGTCATATTTGTATGATATCTTTTAAGTAAATTAAAGTTTCTGCTCCATTCTCTGTATAAATATATTGCTATAAAATCAATTATGAGAGTTAGTTACTTGATTATGATCAGAATAAAGAGTAGCATAACTAAAACCAGATTAGCTGGAGCTGGTGTACTGGGATGCGCACAAAGACAAAAAGGTCGTGCATGCAACCCAATTGTTTCTCGTGAGTTATATAAACCACCTCACAAATTTAACCCCTACATGATTATTTGAATTAATTTATCAAATCTAAGATTCGATATAAATCTGAACAACATGATTGAAAATTAATCCGAAATAATTCGAATCGAATTAAAATTGACCTGAAATGTAGTTGGACCGGAAGTAATCTAAACATAAAATAACCCAACCAAAAAACCAGAACCGAAAATAATCCAAATCGTAAGTAACTCGAATTTAATTTACTCATATCCAATCCGAACTTCGACCCGGTTTTAACCCGATAATTGAGTCTAAGTGAATGAAAATTTTGTTTATTTATTTAATTATCATTATCTATTTTTAGTATTGATAAATAATAAAATGATATATGTTTTATTCTAATTTTATATTATACTACTAGTTAACCACCACTTCAAGTAATAAATTAATAATTCAATGTAACCTTTCTTCGGTTAAAAGATCATATTTATAGTTGATGCAATGACTTTTAGTTCTGAATTTGGACTGTAATAATATATATTGATATAAAATTATTGATTTTAAAGATTTATTAATTCACGTGATTTAAACTAAATTTCCTAACTCTGAATTTAAGATATAACAATATATATTCACATAAAATTCTTGAATTATAAGTAATAAAGAGCAACATTGAAAGTTATGTTGATAAAGAGCGGCTACGATTGACCTAAAAATTTAAAAATTGACTTGAATTGATACCGAATATAGTTAATCCGAAAATCTAATGGTTGACCCGGATCGAAACCAATCGATCCGATATTGATTTGACCCAAAACTAACCATTCTGATTTTGACACGACCTGAACTGGATTTTCATAGAACTGAACTAAACCTGAATCATATTTGATTCGAATCGAAACTAAATACATATTATAATTGAAATGATCCGATCCAAATGACCTGACCGCCTCTAATTAGTAGTACGTCTATACTAAATAATCATATAAGACAAAACTACGTATCAGTTTGCTCCCACATCCTTCTTGGTTAGAGTTATTAGTTTATGCAGTGAATATTTTTGTTGTGGCGAATGGCGACAATTATTCATTATTTCATTTCGAAAAACTTAAGAAATGAGAGGTTTAGGGTCCCGAGTAGAAATGGAAGGGTTGCCACACAGTTTTTGTGTTGTGTCCTTCATATTAACCCCGCCATTGCCAGTACTCGTCGCTCTGCTTCACTGATTCAAACCCACCTTCATGTGGACACAAAACCCATGATATTTGCGTCGGGAGTTCAGTACTTCATGAATTACAATATGTATAATCAATGTTTAAGAGTTCAATTCACTTACATAATATAAGATTATTCAATTTTATATATTCTTTTATCATTACATTAATTTAATTTGTTGATTGAGATTATAATTTTAAATTAAAGATATTTGTTTTTTTTTGTAAAATCTTCTCATTTTGTATCGTTAACCTTAATAATCGGTTTCCATTCATCCAACATTTTTTTTTTAAATATCAAACTCAAATATTTTAATATAAGAATTGATACTTTAACTTAATATTTTTTAATTTTAATATATGAACTTTTTCTTTTGAATTGATTTGATCTTTCAACCTAAAAAATCGTATCATTTCATATAATTAATCTTAATAATTTTTCCCATTCGACCAACGTTTCAAAAAAAATAATCAAACTTAACTACTTTAATATAAATAGTACTTTAACATCATATTTTTTATTTAATACCTGAATTTTTTTTCTTTTGAATTGATTTGACATTTCAACTTGAAAAAATCATAAATTAGTATGTAGCTTGATATTTAAATATTAATTAAATTGCGACTTGTGAAAATAATAATATCATTTTTGTCTATATAATGTCATGTTAATAATATGATTGTTTATAACATCAAAACCGAATAACAAAATGATGAGATTTAAACTAATAGTGCTCCTTGTGTTTGAATTTAACGCACGTCAATAATGAAGTGTAAATGAAAAATGATCACGGAGAACATTAGGATAATATTTTTATATATGTAAAAATAAATAACAATATTTTACATTAAATAAAAATAAATAATAAATAACAATATTTTATATTAAATTTATATTCATGTTAAATAATAAGTGTATTAATAAATATTTCAAGTTTTATAAAAGTACTAATTATATTTATATCAATCGGACATTCAAAGGGACCTTGAAAAAATTATAAGTTGAAGTATGATGTGTACATTCAAAGGGACATTCAAGAGAATGCGCATAGAATTTTACGTATTTAAAATTAGAAAAGACATGGTTGATTTGATGCATTTTATTTATCTTAAAAAGATATGGTTGATGAAGTCTATATCTTCCGAGTTTTGGATAATAAATTATTTGTTAATAATTGAAATGTATTTATTTATTATCATAATCTACGTAATAATTCAATGTCACTTTTATATTTATATTTACCTTATTTAATTGAACAAAGTAAGGTAGATTGTTGGGGAATATTTTTTTTTTGTCCAATCACCAAACGTGACGGTGGCTCAATAATGGTGGATACGATTAAAGCTATTGATGTTGAACAGCTTTGACAATTGATAGATGAGGCTATGGCCCAAAAGAAAATTGCTGCAGCTATTTATCTTAATAATATAAGATAATATTTATTTAATCTTTTTTAATTATAGAAAATAAACAAATGTCTTATAAACATAATTATTTAAATTCAAGATCTAAAAAATAACACTTAAGATCACTCAATGGATACAAATTGTTACCATTACTTAAGTAATTAAATGTTTTTTAAAATGTCAAATAAATACTAACATTCTTAATAATCTTTATGTTCTTTTATCAAGTAGAGAAAATGTACATTTTAAGGTAAATTATCAATATTTAAACTCAAAAGAAAAGACAATATAAACATCCTTGACCACTAAACCAATTAATAAATCTCTTAATATATTTTCCTATTAAATAAGAAACTGAGGTTATATTCCTAGTAATAGAAAATTCCTAAGATAAACATTTATTCTCTGTCTAAACTCTAAGGGCCATTACTTAGAACAAGTCGATTCATATCATCTGCTTATGATAATTTGTATTATTTGTTGTTTTTATTTTTCTAATCATATATCAATTTTCCATTCAGATCTATAATATAAGCAATAATGTAAAGAAAACAGATTTGTAACATTTAACTATCCAAAAAAAGAAAAGAGGATGGTGTACCGAGTTTAGAAACAAAGATTTTTTTTTTTTTTGTCTGATGATAAGGATAATCTATGGATGAAAAAATTCTTACAGAAAAGAGCGATCAAATGAACCGACGACAATAGATGTTAAAATGCTTGTAAAGTGGCATAAACATTTGTAGGGCAGTATGCATCTCAGAACAAAGATACAAATGCGTCATTATAAAATTCATGACTTGTTAATAATGCTGCTTAGATTGGTCTGCAGTCTGCACTTCTGTTTTCTGCAACACTGGATTCAGGACATATTGTTAGAAAGTAGAACAGGTGTATGATGGATACTGAAAACAAACTCCATGTCCAACTCACAGTGGCAACCGCAAATTAACATACAAAGAGTGCAGTTCCATCTTGAATGTTCTAGCAAGTGCTGATACATTCACTCTATAAGTTAATAACCGAGTTCCGACTTGCAAATGCTTTACATCAAAAGCGCGAAGAGAGAGAAAGCATGAGGAAGTGCTAGCAGGCTGCCAATCAATGCATGGAAGGCTATCAAGCAGACACCCATCCAGATCTCAGAACAACCTCCACCGCTAAAGAAAAGTTACTGCAAACCGACACAACAAACGAGTGTGAAATGTACCAGATGGAACTTGATCTTTTTTCCCAATCGGTCACAAGTTTTAATCAAGTTTTCGATGAAATATAGTCTGCATCTAGGTAATGGAACATGCACCAGAATCGCACAGCCAATCCCATTCACAGGTCAAAGTAACTTATAGAGCACGAGTGATGGGTCTAATGTCTGAACCAAACTGAACAGAAATTGGGTAAATGGGGTAGAGCATTCAAGATATTAGCTAGCTTGTCTATTGCGTAGAACAATTCACAGGCAGGGATACAATTGGTCAAGAAAGACAATTATTGCAAACTCATGACGAGATGTGCAAGTACGGGTGTAGTCGGACATAAGAACATCATCGAAACTGGGAAGCACAGTGCCGAGAGCTTATTCTGAATCAATGACTAAACATTTCTTTCCATGCTATATCACCCCTTCTTTTAAATGTGTGAAATCAGTGGCAAGAACTCTTTTGATCAAAACAAGGTCAATAAGCAAAGGAATAGGATTCAACACTCCTATAACTGTCAAGTTAATTTTGCCACAAAGTACATGTTCAATCTCAATTCAGAAGCTTGAGAAATGTACTACAAAGAAAACAGTAAAAGCAAGAAGTTAGTATTTCAGTCTGCATTCTGATATACCTCAATCAGCAGTTTCTGATGCTTGACTATGTTGTTCCTCAATTAAACTTTGAACTCTCTGCACTTCAAATCAAATAAAAAACTTTAGAGCAGATGCATAAACACTGTCAAAAAGGCGTCAACACGTAACCCTCGCTTTACCTTCACAGAACTGCCAACCTCCTCTAGTTTCTGTAGTAATGCAAGATCCCCTGAAGTAGGAATACAATCATGCTTAAGTGGAGAACGCTGCAATATGAAAAAGAAATAAAAGGAATATTAAACCTAATAGACAAATTATTTGTCGAACATTATATTAGGACGCAGGGCTGATTCTTTAAAATAAAGTGTCTTAATGGATACTCTAGGCTTATACTAGAAAAGCCTTAACATGCAAACCCAACTAACTAAGAGAACCAAATTAGATTAATAGGCATACCCAAGCAGATGGTGAAAGAATCCTTAAATTCGGAGCATCTTCAATTGCAGAAACTTGTCGGGAGAAAACCTCGGTCCTCGAGTTTGAAAGGCGTGTCAAAACAGCCTAAACATGAGCATCAAAAGGGACGTAAATCACCACCCACTACTAAAAACTCAGCAACTACAAATATGATTTCGATAATTAAGAATATACCTTCCTAAAAGCATTCGGGTTAACCATGCCTTGGATTTGTAAATCATCACTAGGAGGCCTCCTCACACCAATATTCTCAATTCTAAGTGAGAAAACACCAAATAAAGACTGCAAATATCCTAAACAACAACACAAAAAATTTAAATAAATAAACATTCACCCTTTGTCAAAAACAGCTAAAAGTACATCAATTATTCTCACCTTGTTCAATTACAACATCTGCAACTGAAGACAACAGAACATGCTTCTCTTTCTTTAAAACCCCAAAACATGGAAATGGCACTGGCACTGGCCTTGTAACCTGAATTTCCAAAGTTTATTCCATTCGTGAATATTATATATAAAAATAGTAACTTAAACAAAGTTTTTAAATATCAAAGCATGCCTTAACGAGCAAAAGGTTAGAAAAAGAGAAACAAGGGGTTGGAATTTACTTTGTAAACGATTGAATTAGGAGTGAGATAAAGCTTTCGTGATCGAATATCTTTACGGAGAATGTATCTTCGAACGGGAATGTATAAGAGCATGAACAACCCAATACCCCAAGCTAACACTAAAACCAATGAGTATAAAACCCATTGAGCTGTTTGGTATTTGACGAAATAATCTTCCATCTCTTCAAACTACGCCGCGTAAAGGACCGGCTCATCGTCTGCATCAGTCTCCTCTTGTCCGGTGACAGATTCAGATAACAAACTCTTCTCTAAGCTCTCGATTTCTACAACTTCATCTTCAGTCCCCATCTTAAAAGCGAATACCCAATAAGGAATCTTGTTTACGGCTTAACCGGCAATCGAAATTATAGCTTACCGGTATATGTGCTTGTCGGAGGGAAGATTATCCAGGATTCGCAGTGTGAAACGTGAAACCGAACCCCAAGAAGAAGAGTAGAACGCGTGTCCAAAGATGCACCGTTCGTTGATTTTCTTTTGACAGGTGCGTGGATGATAATTACAAGACTTGGAAAGACAAATAATGTATAGTTTGGTGCAACCAAACGGGAGGTTCCATTTATATGCCGTGGATCTCGGCCCTTGTTCCCACTTTAGGGTTCCATGTGCGCGGCGGCAGCCAGAAATAAATATTGCAAAACCATGCATGCACAAGCCTCCATTGTTTATGGGGTTTGCTGGTTTAATGAGTTAATTAAATTCATTTACTTATTAGGATTGTCATGAAAAAAATATATTCAAGTGGTAAGCAATTGATATTGTTTAAGTATATATCGAGTTTGAGTTTTTGTATATGTAGAAAATTTATGCTAGAAGACTCACTCATCAAAATCAAGTGTACAATTCGAATCAGTCCGATTTAATCAGGACAAATTGTTGGTAAAATAGACTACTGCAAAATGAGGCATTAGCACTGACAGGAGAGATATATATTGAAATATATAAATAAAGAACCGATTAACCGTGTCGTGGTATTAACCACTGCCTTAGAAACGAAATCGCCCCAATATGTGTAATCGCTGCAGTAGGCGGACCGTCCCCCGAGGTTAACACGGTCGCTTTGAATTCCGTACACCCGAAACCGGAGTGGACTGCTGGTGGTATTGCACTTCTGATCGGAAAGAACGGAGAGAACAACTTTAGAAAACACTTGGAGAGTGAATTCTAATTGTAGAGAGTGTGAGTTGAGAAGCTGAATTTAACTCTCTATTTATAGGCTAGAAGTAAGGGTAAATCCGTCCAACAAGAAAATCAAATTAAATTTGATTTTAATTCTGAATTTAAACCCTTTTTGTAACTCCTCTTGATGAATCTGACTAAAAAAGAGTCTATGTTCATTGCATAAAAATTAAACAGTTATAACTCCTGAAATTAAATCATATAACTCCTGTAACTCCTAATATTAACAGCTTGTCTCTCCCATGAACAAAGCTGGAAATAAGTCCAGATACATCTTAAATTCTGATTTAATTTAGAAAAATAACTGTTTAATTTATTTAATTTCAGACAACTAATAATCAGTTGTTATCATCTGAAATATTCAAACTTTAACAGTCTCAGTAGCCTATAAATATCAGATGAATCTTTCACATTTTTCATTTAATCTTTCAGAGAAAAAATTCTTACGAATTTTCTCTAAAAAGATAGTATCCGTGTGGGCGTGTTACCACGCCTTGTTCTCTATCACTCAACAAGGGAATGGAGAATGTAAACCTTAAATATCATTCCAACTAGTATTTCCAACTCTATGTGGGATTGAGCATTACCAACATTCCCCACTAATGCGAAATAATTCTTCTGAAACTCGAAAACAATCTTTCCAGAAGAGCAATAGCGAGATTAGTTGCTTAAGCACTAGTGAACGTATTTGGAACTAATACATAGTGATGATGAGCAATCATTCTCTTAGATAATTGAAACTAGTCTGGAACTTTCTAAGATGGGGGTAAACTCATAACACACAACTAACCCCTTCATCCACCTGAGTCCTCGATGTGTAAGATATATATATACAAAAGTATATATTTGGCCATCTTACCTCAGGATTCTAGTAAGTGTGCTAGAAAAATGGCCCAACATTTTTCATAGAAGGCGGCTAACCCTTCTCACTTACATAGGTTATTTCACCAAGTTTATCTCGACATAAACCACCCTTAAAAGGGATATGAAATAATTAAGAGCTTTTATAATAACTCAACCTCACAAAGGGTATGGTGACTTTCTTCAAGTTCATTAAAATGAACCACCCAAACTCTGGGCTAAGAAGTCATTAAGAATAAATATTCAACCTCATTTATTGGTAAATTCAATAAGTCCTTCTCACTAGAACCATCTAAATACTTGGATTTGAATTTATTAAGCGTTTAACAAACTCAACCTTTCTGTCAATAAGTTCATCATTTCTTACCCACTAACTTTGGGTTATGAACTTATTAAGAATAGATATTAAGACAAAATCGGTAAATTCATCAAGTCTTTCTCACTAAGACCACCCAAAGCCTGGGCTATGAATTTATTAAGAGCAATTAAGCTCATCCTGGGAATGCACATTATTCATCATAGGGATAGGCAGTAGGAATGTGCACTATGAGTCTTTCCATGGTTTCGTTTGACCACATAGAACTTAGATAACTAAATTGGGTATCCACCATGAATTCCTCAACCAATGGGCTTTAGACCCATCCCCCTCGACGAATCTAGGACCAACTTCCGACTTAACCCTTTGGTAAGCGGATCTGCTAGGTTCATTTCTGACTTCACATACTCTAAAGAGAGCACTTCATTCTTTATTAAGTGTCTAACTGATTCATGTCTTATGCGAATGTGTCTTTTCTTACCATTGCAAGCTTGGTTCTTAGCCACACATATTGCAGCTTGTGAATCACACAACAAAGAAACTGGAGGAGTCGATCTTCCCCACAACGGAATATCTACTAACAAGATTCTGAGCCACTCGGCTTCTTGCCTAGCTAGGTCAAGAGCTATAAACTCTGACTCCATGGTAAAACGAGTAATACAAGTCAGCTTTGATGATTTCCACAAGATTGTTGCTCCACCTAAATTAAAAACATACCCGCTTGTAGAGCTTACCTCATCATTATCAGAAACCTAGTTGGCATCACAATATCCTTCCAGTACCACAAGATAACCAACAAACTCAAGTTTCCAATCCAAAGTACCCTTAAGATACTTCAGTAAGCATCTAAGAGCAATCCAATATTCACCACTCGGATTATGAGTATATCTCACAATATAAGCAATATCAGGTGTAACACCCCAACCTGTACCCGACTCGAATATGAGTCCGGGGTGTCACTTTGACTTTTCAAACTTTGACTCTTAAAGAAAACCCCGAGAATTTAAAACTTTGTTTAAAACAAAATACATTAATTTACATAAAAGAGACCACAAAATACAAACTCGATCAGAGTGCTCATAATTAACGACTTATTACATGCCAACACTCTATACACAACAAAATACCTACTTTGTCGATTTCTTCTGATCTGATCTTCTAGTAATAATATTGTCCTTGCTACTTCTATTCTTGCTCTTCTCGTTTCTTGGTACCTACATGTAAATCACTTACACGCTAAGTCATAGACTTAGTGAGGCAATAAATAAACATGTAACAGTAGATTCATGAATATGCATTCTTACCATTTGATCATGATATTTCAATATGTATGTATATATTTCATATGACATATATAACCAAGTCATGCACACATGAAACTTACCTTTTTGCATCACTTTCACTTTAATTTATATTTCAATTACCCATGTATATTGTTGTTGAGAACAAAGGTATGTGAGTATATTGAGGTTGTGCACTAATGTTGTCACCACAGCTCGTATAAATTCCCTCATGGGCACCGAACATTTGTTCAGTATTCGTCCCGAAGGACTGCTATATATGTCTCGTAGGACCACTATGTCCCGAAGAACTACAATACCCTCGACTCTTGGCATGCCAACTATACCTATAGCTCTCGTATCATATACTATGGGCATTTACGATGAATATATTTCTCATCACTTGTTCTTTCTTTAATGTCACATACCACATGTATGTGTAACCATGCATTTCATATCATATCACATAGCTTATCTCATTTCACATTGGTCATGTCTCATAGCATATATCACATATGCATATAATCATGTATATCATATTATATATCTTATGTTTTATGCTCTTATGTCTATGCATATCATGTAACATATATAATAACCTATACCCATTTCATGTATTCATGCACATATAAGAATCACAAATCAAATAACATTTTAGGAGTCACTTCTTACCATAGTAACTCCATAACTAGCTCATCGCAAGCCAATGTTTGTTCAATAATATAAGTACAATTAAAATTGCACTCACCTTAGCCTTATTTGCTTTGAATCGATCCTAATCCTTTGATTATTCCGGAACTTGTTTAGACTCAATATCTACATAAATATAACATTTCAAAACAACTATCAGAAGCCTAAACCTTAAACTTGATGTTAACAACTTAAACCAAATTAAAGAACCAAATTCTATTTTTCATTTAGGGGGAATCGATACCCCCCAGGGGAATCGATACCCCCTGAACATACTGGAATTTTTCGTTCAAGAGGGGGAATCGATTCCCTCTACCCAGAAATTGTATTTCAAGCCCGAAAATCATCAATTCTTCATTCAATTCTTCTATTTTAAACCCCTACCATGTCATTAAACCTAACCACCATTACTTAAATCAATTTATATCCATGAAAACCATCCATAACCTCAAAATCCTATCCCTCATATGTAAATCAAGAATCATACTCAAATTTCAATATGTTCAAAATACAATTCCAACACTTCATAATCCTTAATTAGCATGATGACAAGTCAAATTTAACTTCAAATTCAACTTATCAACTCTTTTCCATAATTTCATATAAAAAACTGTTTTTAATTTCTTATAACTTCTTCATCTTTTGATTATAAGACAACTTAAGCTTTCCTTAAGCTTAGTTATCTTCTAATGATCATAACCCAACCTTAAAATCAACAATTAATCAACAAAATAGAAAACTCACCTTTACTGTGGCTCTCTCTCGTATGGAAGAACAAAGAGAATAAGATAATTCTGGAGAATTATCTCCTCTTCCATGTGTATCTCTCTAAATAGAGAGATGACAATATCTTTTAAGCTAAATTACCATACTATCCTTTTAATTCTTTCATATTCACCACTTAATCCAACTGAAATATTCATATTTAAATCAACAAATTCTAAAACTTTACAATAAAGTCACTAACCCGTAGTTTGGGATGTTACAAATCTCACCCCCTTAAGAAAATTTGTCCTCGAATTTTTATTGTACAAAGAGATGGGGATATTGAATCTTCATGTCCTCTTCACGTTCCCACGTTGCTTCTTCCACCTTGTGATTTCTCCACAACACTTTGACTAATGAAATAGTCTTGTTCCTTAATTGTTTAAATTCATGGGCTAAAATTCAGA